GGCATACTTTCATTTTGTTTCATGTCCATGACTTTTTGAAACAACTTGACAGTTTCTGCTTATTCACCCTCAAGGGCCATCTGAATCAGACAAATCCATCTGCTTGGGTTTAAATGCTGTGGTGAGAGGGTGCTTGAGTTTCAGCAAATGTAGCAGAAGTTTTTTTATATTAGATTAACGCCATCCTGCTTTCTGTTGGGCTGTTTCATCCTGCTCAAGCATTGAATAAAAAGGCCAATTTTGTAGAGGCTCAGTTAGTTCTGAACTTTGGTGAGGATATATGCTGCTAACTACGGCATGGCCACCATTGTCAGTCCTCAGCAGAATAAACTCTTTGCTGCTCCTCTCTGTGCGTAAATATAGAAGTAGATTGAAATCCAGCTCTTGATTTTTAATGACACAAGTAATCTGGCCAAATGAGAAGGAGTTTGTATTATAGAAATGGGTGATAGTTATTTGCCAGCTTGAAACAAATAAGAACCCATCTGTGTTTTATAACTGCTATCCAGAGATCTAAGCAGCTGATCAGGACAGTGAGGGCCTGGCAGCTCAAATGTGTGATAAAAGGTTTCAAGGTGTAAAGAACTCTTGTTTGTTTACTAACCTTTTGGTTATTCTAGTCATGTTGCAACTGCCTGGTGTTGTTGTTAAGACTCTTTTCCATGCTTTTTCAGGCCAATAATTTTTTTTCCAAAGCTTTACTCATCCTTGTTCCGTAGCATGTTTGTATCTACTTTATCACACTGAAAATCTGTCTGTTTTGAAAGGAATACAACTCTGCACATCAGTGCATGACATCACACTAAGACATTGCTTAATGATCTGAGACTCTGATGGCCATTGCTGCAACTGCTTGTTTCTGGAAATATGTGACAGCTCTGGCCTATCTAAGCCTTGCTTACTGTTGCATTTTTAGCCCACGCTGGTGGTGGTGTGTTTTAAAGCAGCATTCACAAAATAACTGATTGTGATAAGAGCCATCTGCAGATGGAAGGCAATGGGGTGCCAAGCAGAGCTGTGACACAAGAAAGCCCAGCCGCTTTGCAACCCAAGTAGACTTTGGCCCTAAAAGCCTTTCCTTGATTTTTATTTCTTTTAGGAACATGTAATATTGCGAGCACTTTGATAGAAGAGAATTACTGGCATCCGATGCTAGGAGGTGCTAATTGTCTTCCATAAATTCACAGGCATTCCATTATTAAGTAGGCATAGGAAAGGGCCGTCTGGGTAAGCTGTGGTTACTGTAGAGTTGTAATTCCAGTTTTGCTGAAAAGTTTAATGCTAGCATAGGTCAAATCTTCAATAGACTTTGGATGGATTTCAAGTTAAATTCCTTTCTTCCTGCTAGTAGTCCTGAATTATCTGAGGTGGATCTGCCTTCAGATTTTTGGTTCATTTGAATGGAAGACTCAAACAAAATGTGGTACATTTAAACTTGCACCATACATCTGCAAAAGGGAATTTAAGCAGCAGGAACACCTGCAGCTGCACCCTAGAGGTCTGTTGATACGGCCCTACCTCTCTTAGGTCAATTATCCAGTAAGTCAAATTTCATTTTGCTTTAGACTGGCTAAGGACACTTCTCACTGGATATAATTTGCTTAGCGCTGTCCCAAGGGATAATGATGTGACTTCCATAAAGAGTTGAAGATAGAACAGAACATCTCAGGACCTGAAAAGGAATGAAGTTAGGTTTGCACTGTTGACTCCAAAATTTTATTTTCAACAGTTTCTTGTTGTGATTATGATTTTTGCATGTCTCTCCCTCTGGAAATACTAATTGGAAGTTGAATGAAATATCAAGTGGGTGTACCAAGTGTTCTCCCTGAGTGCAGGGGGAGTGCAGAAGGAGACATTAAAAACATAGCAAAAAAGCACTGATGATGAAATGACCTGGATAACAAGAGGCATGAAAAGAAACAGGAGACAGCATGGCAGGCCAGGACAGAGATCTGCAAACCCTTGCTAGTGAGAAGGTTAGGGCAGCTGTAATTTAATCCAGAGAATCAGAATAAGGCTGAAATGAAAATGGAAGGAAAAAGATGCCAATCTAAGATATAGTCTAAGCCCTCAAATAATCTTTTAAGAAAAGTATCTTAGCCCTTCCTTAGCTGCCTGCCGTTTCCTTTTTCCTCTTCTAAATGAAAATATTTTAATTTTTTTATTATTATAGAAGGACTGACTTGAAATCACTTTCTGTTTCTCCCAGACATTTTGAGCACAAAGAAATTTGAGTGGATACAGAAGGGCCTTTTTCTAATTTTGCTCTTGCTTTTCTGTGAAATAGTCCTTTTCATAATTCACTTCTTTTGCAATTTTCTAAATTTGGGTCATGTCCATTGCTTTTCAGATAAAATAGAAATATTGTTAAAAGATTTATCTCTTCTGCCATTATCAATCCTTTAATAACTTTGAATAACTTTTCTTAAATCAGCTTGACTTCTTTTTTCTTTTCTTTTCATTTTAGGTTTTTTTTTTTTTTTTTTTTGTCATTTGAATAAGTTCTTAGGTCTGGAAACAAGTTAATCATAAATCCCAGGATCCTCCTTGTTCTTTTTTATTACATCTCTGCAGTGTAAAAGGTGTCAAATTCATTGCTGTTAAGGAAAAGGTGTACATTTTGGCTTCATGGCATGGACATTGCATTTGCTTGGTATTCCTCTGTTGATGTAATTGTTTTATTAAATATCTATCACAAGATGTGAAGAAGTCCTCATATCTGTAATAACCCTTCCAGCAGCCCTTTTTGGGGCTGGTACAGTATCTGTTCTGTATAATGCACAGGATTTAGTGCAGTACTTTGGGGGTTTACCCTCTGCTTGCCATGGCATAGCTACTTTGGTGTCACTTTTGCATTGTAAATCAAATTAGAGTTTGAATCAATCTTGATTAAGGAAGGTGGATTATTTGCCCATCATCTTGACTACTTCAAGGTGTCCATGTATGTCACTTTTCTAGTAATTTTTGCACTGAAATTCAATGGCATTTCTCTTTCAAATATATGTTATTTTACCTGAAATACTAATACTTACTGTATTTTACTACACTTAAATGCAATTTATCATGCAGAAAACACTTGTCTGTGTAAAAAGCATTGGGTTACTTGTTTGTTGGATTAACGATACCTGTTTTAAAAATCCACAGACCACTTAAAAGTAGTTTGTAGGTCATGTACTGGATTTTGATGAATCCATTTACAATGAGCAGTGTATAGCAATGCATGGGGGGAAAAACAAGGGGCTGCATACTAAAGCTGGGCAGAATTTGACAATAAGGAATAAATTTGCATAATATAAAACTGTAAATGGAGATAAGCTCTTTCACAAAATTAAGTTGAATTAAGGAAATAAAATTAGAAACACATCTACAATGATGTGAAAATTTTGAAAATACCAGTGTTTCGTTTCTACCTTTTCTAAATAAAGCTTTCTTTTAATTGTACTTTTCAAGAGGGTAATTTGCACATAGAAGTTGACTTACCCTACAAATAAAGCATTTCTTAAAGCTCTCATTTGGGGGGGGGGGGGGAAGCATGAAAGAAAATACTTCTCTAAATTCCTTCTTTTTCTGTGCCTTTGGTGTCAACAACAAAAAAAAAAATCAACCCAAACCTATTTAAAACTTAGCCTTTGCTAGAACAATACGAGTAGTTCTGTGTCTGATAACTCCAGCAAGCCAACCAAGCACTGATAAACTCTATTTAATGGCACTGAAAAGAGTGGGAGGTAACGTCTCAAACATCTACAACCTCCAATCCCCTGCACCTACCAGTCCCAAAAGACACCAAAAAAAGCCACAAATGGAGTCTGGAATTGTCTCTTTTCATACAAGGGAAGACATGGGATATAAATTCACTGTGTTTTATTGTACTCTGTGTCCAAAACCAGAAAACTATGGAATTGCTTTCCATTGTCTCTCTGCAGACTTCTCTTTTGAAACAAAGTAATAGCTGTCCATTCTTCATCAGCTCTTTTGAAATAAACAATGAAATGCAGGGCACAAGAAGTACATAATAAAAGATTAAAATGCTTCTGGTTAGTCTTGATATAATATATTTGTTTGTCAGGCTTCCTGCGATTCCCACATTAACATGTTTGAAATGCAGTGGGGTTGTAGGGGTCAGGTGGGAGGTGCACAGCTGGATAAATGTCAACAAAATTAATAAATATCCTTATCCCCCCTGCTCCCTGAAATAAGCCATTCCTGTGCATATTTCATTGTGATTTCACATACACCTGTGCTGTGAAGAGTGGATTACCAGGCACTGTGAAAAATTGATGGTTTTGAAGGGTTCAAGGTTCTGGGTGTGCTGGTTTGTAGTGGTACCTCAGGGTCTGAGCCCTCCTCAGCCCACCAGTGTCTGTGGGGCTGAGGCCAGCACTCCTCTGCTGCCCAGATGCATTCATGCCTAGGGCGCTGTCAAATGGATTGCTTTCTACTGGCCCCTGAGCCTTTTAATGGTTTCAGACTGATCAATTTAAAAGACTTGTTAAAAACAGAACTAAGGGATGACAGTCTCTTATTGATTGGGGAAAATAACCAAATTTTATATAGGTAGAGCCTTCAGACATTGTAATTAATTTGATGTGAATAAAGATCTGACAGTACTACCTACAGTTTATTGATTGGGGGAAAGTATCTTTCATGTTTATTCAGTAAGAGAGATCACTAGGACTTTTAATTTCCCTTTATGTTAAGTCTGACACTAGTGCATCTATTCCTCTTCATTTCTAGGAGTGATATATACTAAAGAGATGCCAAGAACTTTGGATGATTTTTAGAAATGTCCTCATTTGTCTTATCCTTACAACATCAGAAGTTTCTTTATATGTCAAACAGCATTAAAAATCTTTTAGAAACTAAAGATCTTTGTACTAAATGCTTATAAATTATCCCTGAGTCTGTAGTCCTGAGCTGTAGTAGCAGTCCCATATTAAGAAGTCTCAGTCACAGGTGGCATTTCCCAAGTGTATTGATCATTTCCGTCCTCCCTCTTGCAGCAACAGGTCGACCCCTAACAATCATGACCGGATACAGCGCCTGAGACAAGAGTTTCAACAAGCAAAGCAAGACGAGGATGTGGAGGACAGGAGACGTACTTACAGTTTTGAGCAGCCGTGGGTAAGTTTGGAGCCTGTCAGATCCGGGAAGGTTGGCTGACTCTGCTGTTCCTGGGCTGGCTGGGAGCAGACAGAGAGGAAGGCAGGGTCCTCTGCCTCCACACTTCTGCCCTTGCTGCTATCCCTGCTTTTGGTTCATTGATGTTTATTTCATTTCTAAAATTCTTCAGCCATCTGTCGTATGTGCAGATAGCAGCATTTGCTCTGTGTTTAGACCCTTGACTCTGTGAGTTATTACTTGGGTTTTTTTGCCTCAAAGGCAATATCTATTAATCTGAACTTTTCAAGGAAAAGTGGAATAAAATGCATACTAACAGTAAATAATTTAGAGAGAACATGTAACCTTGTAAATGGTATTTTCTCTGAAGCAATATCAGTATGATTAGTTATTTTCATAAAAGGCAGAGCTAGGTCTTTTCACAGTAAAAAAGGAGGGATATGCACACTTTACAATAGTACCCCTTTACCGCTTACATGAGCCAAGACAGTTCTGTGTTGAGATATACATCCTAATTGATCATTTAAATCCTGTTCAATCTGATCTAGCAACGTGATACAATTATGTAAATTCATGTGCTTATCTTGTTTAACATAACTGAATGAATCAGCCTTGCATTTTAATCAATTACGTATCCTAAATTAGGATACTTTAAACATGTGACAAATACTCTAATTTTGTTGAAAATTCCATGATAAAGACAGTGAACAACTCACTTGTGTTCCGAAAGAAGTGGGAACTGTATGATAACAACAGTAGAATCTCTCACAGCTTACTCCAAAGCGGGTGTAGGTGATGGGTTATTGTTATTTAGGATTGCAATGCACACGAGAATGAGGTGGGAAGACTCTTAGCTGAAGAGCCACATCTCTGTGTATGAAGTCACTGAAAACAAACTAGGTAACAGGCCTAGGTAACATCCTAATGCATATGCCATCTTTGTTTGCCTGTTGTGGTGGATATGGAAGATTTTTTTTTTTTTTGGCTTTTGTTGGGTCTTTGTGTCCTTGTCCATCTTAAACTCACCAACTTGAACCTGTGGTATTTTTGACATGCAGCATGGAGAGGAACAAAGGTAAATGTGTCCCTAAATGACTTAATATTGCTTGACATACAGTATCAGGATATAGGCTTCTCTTTTCCTGTTTTAGAAAACCTCTAACTTCCTCTGAAATTGAAAAATTAATATAAACATTTTCTGTATGACCAGAGGTTTTCTATTTAATGTTGGGAAGATATTGTGATAGCTCACCACAGTGATAGTTTAGCAGTTTTGGGGTAAGTTTGGGCTGTAGTAGAGATATTTTTCATTATGCATATCAACTACTGTTCACTCTCTAAAAGAGAGATTTGAGCAACATTCTTGGGAAAACTCTGTATGAGAAAAACTTTCACTCTTGAAGACTTGGGAACTTAACTACTGAAGGTCATGGGCCAAATTGTTGTATATCTAAATGCCATAGCAACTTTAGACAGTCAACTTGGCTTTTATTATCGTTTCTTGTAATGAGCGAAGAGGGAACTATTTGGATGACAGACTGATTACCTTAGGAATAGAATAATTTCCTAAATTATGGGTCAGAACACTGACCTTTCTTTTTTCTCTTACTCAAACAAATGGGATCTCTCTGTTTACTCCCCTTCTACAGATCATGCAAATGAACTCAAAGTGACTAATTCAGTCTAATGTATTAATATTAATTCAGGAGCTTATTGTTGCTTTTGTAGGAGCTCTGTTTTTAAATACATAGGTGACCAAATGTTTTATTTTAGATAAGCACTTTAAAAAAAAAAATTGGCCCAGAGTCTATTTGAATTATAATTTTATTTTTCCATCATGTACTCCAGCCTTTCAAGATCACAATGCCTGGAAAGGATAAAGCAATGATCTCATCCATTTCAGCATTTCATAGTCATTTCAGTGTTAAGGAGCCATGACCTTCTCTCTTAAGGAGTGTGTACTATTTTAGCATATTAGTCTAAAATGATGGACTTTCTTAAGACACACTTGCAAAACAGATCCAGATGTATTATTAAATACCAATGACACAAAAAAATGCAAAAGTGGTTTATTGTATGTATGCAGGAAAATACTTAAATATGCTCATTGGTATCTTTTAAATCCATCTGTAAGCAGTTTGTTCCAAACCACAGCAGTGCAAAGTGCACCTGTATGTAGACCACTGTTGAAAAGTGTGTTTTCACCTGAGGGAGATGGGTTGTGCAGCCTACATGACCTAAAGAACTTTACATCCAGAGAAGCCTCAGAGCCGCATGACAGCAGCCAACTCTGACCTGGTTTGGATAGAAAGAGAGGAAAAACCAACTCCCAGAGAAGTCTGAGCTAGGTGATAAGTAGTTTGTATTTCTCATTAACAAGCTGATGGGAGAGTTGAGGATAGGGAGCAAAGTGCTGATGTGATGAGGTACTGTTGGTTACTTTAAGGAAATATAAATGAACATGAAGTTTGCAGTGTAAGTAATGGATGCTGATGGAAATCTGGCAGCTCTGAGGATATTCAGAGGAGCTCAATACCTCAGAAACCCACTAATATATTATCAAAATGATCCTGTGAACCTCTCCAGCTCCAATCCATCCCAGACTTTTAATGGCCTGTGACACAGGAGTCCAGTTACCCGTGACAGATACCTTCAGTCTCCTCCCTGGGTTGGAGGCAGATCTCTGTACCACGGAGCACTACATCACACTGGCTCTGTGGCAGCAGCACTGGTGCCTGGCCCCTTCACTTTCTGCGTGTGCCCATCAGGTGAAGGTCATTTCTCCGTAGACAAGCAGCAGAGCCAGACTTTTTGCCCGGCTGTGTTTGCCCTGCCAGTAAACAAAATACTTGACTGCCTATGAGTGTTCACACAGCATCAGGCAGCTTAACAGACACAAAAAGTGATAGCACTGGAATGAGATGACACCGTCTATTAAACAGCGTAACATTTCTGCTCAAGGCCGTTTGAATGACACACGGTTAGGGTTTAAATAACTGCCTAAATGTTGTAACGCTGAGCTGTCCCTGAAATCCGGTAGTTCTGCAGTTGATTCAAAGCTTTATGGAAAAGATTTTTGCATTTGTTTATCTTAAGATAACTTTCTTAGGCTTCATAAAGGTTTTTGTGCTCTTATATGGCTTTGCTTTTTTGTGTGTGTTTGTGCGCGCGTGTGCATGTGTTTCAAAAAGTGAGGTACAAGAGGCTTTCAAGGGCAATACTATTAGGCCTGATGCTGCATGGGAAAAAATAAAAATAAAATATGATTAATCCATTTTAATCCTGCTGGTGTTAATTCCAGTCAGAGTTTGCAGACATATATCTGGGCATGTAGAATTGCATGGAATTACAGTTATGTGTACTAATATTTAAGGCCCTTGCTGTTGCTATGACATTTTTATACCAATGCAGGATTCTTTTGGGGCTGATTTTTCTGTTCAGTACCAAAGATGAGCCTCTGGTTTCTGAGCTTTTCTGGGTTGTGTGAGGTCTGCTGAGGTTTGTCCTTCCTTGTACCAGTCCCAGGCTTGGGGGGGGATTTTTGCTGTAATTTGTTCCATATCTTGTATTTTTGCCTGGTCACATCTTGATTAAGAGGCCCTCCCCTCCCCCCTTCAATAATAAAACCACTGAACTATAGCTCTAAATGTTATAGGAGTGAACAATCCAATTTTAAAAAAGAGCATTTTAAATCCATGGAAACTACTACAGCTGCTTTCCTGTCCTGCTTGTAGAAGCACACTAATGATCAAAAAAACCCACAAAGATACAGGAGGGACAAAAGTTAGTGGTTTGTTTCTTCATATTTAATAAAGTAATTGGTGCTGAAAATGGAAAGTGGCAAATTCCATTCACAAATAGATTCATCTCCAGTCATTCTGGATCTGTTAGAATGATAGGAAAAAATTGACATTGAGAGAGCAGCTGAGCAAACTCTTACTTTAAATATTTAGGAGTCAAATAAAAGGATAACAGCTAACTGGGTCAAAATAAATATACTACCTGACTTGTCTGAGTGTAGCTTTAATCATATGCACAAATTTGTAAAGGTAAATAATTGCATGATTTTCATAGAGGAAAGACTCCAATAGTCTTAATAATATACTTATGCATGGCCTGATAAATAAAGGCTCAGAAAATTTAGGGGCTGTGCTTGAGTTTTTTTCAACTATTTGTTGGTGTATAGATCTTGTCTCTAAGAGACTTATGGAAAAAAAATTCTTTTTTTATCTGTTTATGATACTTGTTTCTTATCCCTATATTCGAGACCTTGACCTACTCAAAACCATAATGAATTCTAATAATATAAAATTCTTTAGGAAAAACAAACCTGAATGTTATTGCTGTAACTTCAGCTGCATATTAATATTATCTGGAAAAAATAAATAACAGACTATATTAGATACAAACATTCTAAAGTTTTTATCAGGCTGTAAGCTATGTAGAATTACTCAACACATTAATGAGAAAGAGAAATAGTATATTAATTCTTTCTGTTATTAGTGCATTTCAAGAGTCTCTTTTAGGATATTTTATGCAAAATACTAGGCAATATCTGATGGAGCATTGCAGTTCACAAATACCTTGGAAGCTAAATTTCAGTTTCTCCTACCCCAGTCTGTTTCATAGAGGAAATCAAAGTTATGCAGGACAGCTTCTCCACAGGTAGTTCCTTTTCAGCTGTGTAGATAATATTCTGTGTCAAGCCTCCAAAGGATTTCATAAAATACCAGCATGTTTTTTTAAGATTTAGACTCCAACGTTTTATATTTTAACTTTTTTTTCCCACTAGCTTCAATCTACTAATTTATTTGAAATAAAAAAATTAAGATAAAAGATTTTAAAAAGAAATTAAGGCATTTTGGTTAGTAAACAAACATATTTATAGCTCACAGGTGTACAATGAATGTAAATACCTCTGGCAGAATTTCAGGGCTTAGTGGTTTGTTTCTACCATACTGAAGATTTTCTTTCTGCTCTTCCTATACACAGAATGGAAATCTTTGTCCCATACCACAATACTGAGCTTCCTGCATAGACCCCATAGAAAGGGATAGAAAGGGATGGGATTTTCTTTTTTGTGGTGTTTGAATTAATACACACACCTACTGGCAACTTTTAAAAGACATATTGCTATATGTTCTGTGCACCATAGCAACATAAACAAAAATCGAAGTAAAAATAGTTTTCAAGGACATCTCCCAGAAACACTGGATGTTTTTTATCATTCTGAATTTTGATATACATGGTTACTGGATTGTCTGTCATCTGTGCCAAGTACATTTACACATAAAGCAGGCAAGGTTATTTAATCTTATCTATTTCTAATTAGTGCTGAACTATTGGAACCGTGCAGTTTTGGAGGGCCTTGTGTCTCTCAACTTCCCAGGTGAACTTGAAACTTCTTGGTTAAACACAGTGCTTAATCTCAAAAAAACGATTAGCACGTAACAGTCATTTTTAATAACTGGGAAAATACTAAGGGTCTTGCTCCTTTACTAATCTCCCTATTAACTATTTCTTTCTCAACACAAAAGAGTTCTATGAGTTGGAGTAACAGTTTCTCCCAGCTTGCGCCTGTGTCTGAAGGCTGTCAGATGGGTTTGTCACCTCAACTGTTGGATTTCTTATCACCTGAACTGGTTGGATCTCCCTGAAAACCCAGTGCTCTGGATCACCTCCATGATCTCCTCTCTGTAATTCTGTGGCAGCTTTGATCTGTGCCAGTCCTGCAGGATCCATGCTGCCACCATTCAGAACTACCTCTGTGGGCAGAAATGCCACTCTGTGGGGAAAGAAGCCGTGTGGGCATCCCCTGGTATAGATAGGAAAGAGAGGAGGGACCTTTGTCCCTAAAGATGCTACCCTGGACTGCTGATAGTGGTCAGCAACATAAGCCATGGGTGTTCATTCTCTGTGACATGAAAAAAATGTTGTTTGCATAAAGTGAAAAAGTAGAAACTTTTAACTTTGCAGCCCTGGTTTTAAATTAATGCCTCTTTTAGAAGAGAGCCGTGTAATTTCATCTATCTTAAAGCACAATTTTATGTGCTGAATATTGTTTAACAGTGCTGAATGCAATAACTATCATTGCCACTTAAATGTATTGTGGAAGACATGAACATATATTTATTTGTATAATGCAGCCTTGGTTGTTATTGTGGCCTTGACCACATCCTATTTTAAAAGGTCAATGCTTGTCATACGTCTCATTCCAAGCAAGGCCAGAGTTCTTATCAATCTATTCTGTGAGGACTGAGCTGTTGCCAGGTTTGTTGGATGGTTTCAGGTTGTTATAATTGTACTTAGCCTAGTGTTGATATCAGTGTTAAAATTGCTGTGTTATGTATGTGTTTTTTTTGTTGCTGTTGAAAGATCTGAAAATAGTGCATCTTTTTTTTTAATTATCTCCATTTTATGCTGACATAAATGGAGTAGTCATGTATATAGATGTGCATCTAGGAATGTATTTTATATAAATATATGTATGTATAAAAGTGTGCTTTGGAGATTGAGACAAAATTACCAATTAATTTTTGAAGACTAAGGTTACTTATTATATAAATATTTTTGCTTTAGATACTTTAATCAACAGCATACTGAAAAGTTAAATCACTGTATGGAGATTTGCATTTTTCTGAATAAGTTAAGGGTCTAAAATGGAATATGTTAGTCTTTATATCATCATAACCATATAGGCATTCACTATGCTATCATTGGGGTTTTGAATGGAAAGGATTGGAAGAAAAACGTTTTCATTAATAAGATGTTTGGATATACCTCTCTGTATACTCTGTGTATATATGTATGTTATGTTATGTTATGTTATGTTATGTTATGTTATGTTATGTTATGTTATGTTATGTTATGTTATGTTATGTTATGTTATGTTATGTTATGTTATGGAATTTGTGCTTACATGCAAAGGGAGTATTTGAAATAAGATAGTAGATTCGATTGGATGAACAGCTAATTGTAGTTGTGAACAATATTCAGACTAAATGAGTATCCTTTCCAGATTTTTTAGAGTATTGCAAATCCTCTTAGTACTCATACCTTTGGAAAATCAGATAATGGATTTGAGATGTTTGCCTTTAGACCCAGCAAATTACAAATGCTGTCCATTAGATGAAATTCCTTGTGAGCTGCAGAGAATCCAGACATGACTCCTCAGATCCCATCATTCTGGGCATGCATTACAGCAGACAGACAGCAGTGATAGCCCCTGCCTCCATTGCACATTGGTTCCTCTGTGCATTAAAAAGAAGTATCTCTGAAGGCACAATTTGATCTTAGTATATTCATAGTCCATTAGGACTTTCAAAGCTCTGTCTCCTTAGTAAAGGCTTGCATGGTAACTTCATCTCTTTGAACATGTGTGTCTGTACTTGCATTCATGTTTTCTAGAAAAGATGCATTTTATTGTCTTGTATAAACATAAATTGAGCAGTAGCTCCATCCTATCTCCACCTATTCTGTAGTTTCATCATTGTCTGTACTGTAAAATTCCTTAATCTGTTATATTTAGAGTGAACTGAAAGAAGTGAAGCTTTTCAAGTAGAGAAGCAATTTTGATTTCATGTCTTATCTGTGATAACTACTTTCTCCCATATGACGTAATGTAGCTGCAAGCTTTCTAATGCTGTTGAAGTGAAACCCCTGAAATGATGAGATTGGCTCTAAAATCTTAGTTTAAATGTTTTTATTCTTTATGGAGAAGTTGATATGGGAACTTCTGAGTTTCCCTCTGGTTCTCTGCAAGCTGGTTATAACCACACAGGAGAGAATTCACAAATAAACCTTGCGATTTTCAGATAATCACTCCCTGCCATAAGCTGAGCCCTTCAATAAAATACCAAATGTCAGAAGACTCCCAATAAAGTCAAGAAAGTTAGAAATGTTGACATATGCAATAACTGAAATGCTGCTCTGTATGGGTTGCCCTTATTTAATATAGTAGGAAATCTCTGAGGGGGTTGTTGGTTTGGACATACATATGTACAGCTTATTCATCTCTGAGAAAATTTCCCACAAGACTAACATGTGATTCTGTTTTCTCAATTTGTTGCTTCATCTTGCCATTCCTAAAGCATTTTTTAGTTAGAAATACTGTTTTACTGAGGTTTTTTGCAAGTAAAGCTATTCTGAAATAGACACCACCGTTATATTAAAGATTCTCTTAAATAAGTCAATGCTTTCATATTCTGATTCTTTTGTCCCATGATCTTCCCTTGATGGGAAGATTGTATCTGTTAAATTCTGAACTGAGACTGGTGTTCTGTCTGCAGTGTATTGTGATTGAAAACAAAGTTTCTAAAAGTTGTCCACCTGTCTCAAATTTGTTGTGTTTCTGGCTACCTGCAGGTACTTGCCTATATAGCAAGACAAAGGAGACGTTTGTGTCACAAATTACAACTTCCTAGTTTCTAAAACTTGTCTTCAATATACAAAGCTTTTGAAAAGCCTTTTATCTTGCAGATATTTGTGAGCCATTATGATCTCTTTCTCTGAAGAAATTCTAATGGCAAAAAACAAGAGATGTTTGTTTTGAGGAAAAGCACAGATAAAAAGGCAAGAAGTGCTTTAACAAAAGCAAGTCTGAGACAAGCGGATTCAGTCCCAGGCTCAGACAAGTGGTTATGCTCCCTAGCCTCCCCATGATTAAACTTACATGATTTGAATAGAACTAGTAATTTTAAGGAGATGAAAATAATACTTTTTTTCTTTGTAGCTGAAGCCTTATTAGTAAAACAATAAGAAAAGCCCATAGCATACTTTGATTTTTGTGACACTCTGTTTTGCAATTTGAAATTACAAAGTCTGAAGAAAGTAGTAATGTAAAACAAAAAGTGACATCTCAACAAAAGTTAACTTTTTCATATTCCAAAGTTCAAATCCAGCCATTCTTACAGATCTTGACCAGTAATGCTCTGGATTCTCAGAAAGTCCCTACATTTTCACTTGCTCTTAGTACTGGCCTCAAAGTTTCAAATTGTCGCCTCATTTCCTACTTAGAGACACAGGAATCCCCATTGTCCACAAGAGACTTGCTGAATTTATGTACTTGATAACATCGAATCAGAAAATGTTTTCCAATCTCAGAAAAGCAAGCAGTGCACGTCTGGGCTAACAGCACATTAGTATAGTTCCACTAAATGAGGTTCAAAAGAGCTGCTGTACTCCCTCCCCACTCTGATTCTCAGTGGGGTGTTAAACTTGGCGTTACAGTGGCTAGGCTAATTTACAGAGTATGAAGATCTGTTCCACTGACTTAATTTAAATTACAGTGTTACCATAAAAGCATAACCCATTCTGGACCAATATTTTCCTTGTACATCTCAGAAATGGTAGGTCAGAAATAAAATCTCTAGCACAGGTCACTGTTACAGGTCAGAATTTAACCTAATTATTGTGAAAGAGCTGCTTGAATTGCATGTTGAAACAGAAATAACTGTATTTGTACAATAGCAACTTAAATGATGACTCTTTCATGGGTATTTTTCTGCTTTGTTTAAGACATTTTCATTTTTGTTTTGCAGCCAAGCACCAAGACGTACTCGCAGAGTGGTAGGCACTCCGTGTCAGTAGAGGTTCAAATGCAGCGGCAGCGGCAGGAAGAAAGAGAGAGTTTCCAGCAAGCTCAGCGGCAGTACAGCTCATTACCCAGGTATGGCAACTGTCTCAAGCTATTCCGTGCGTGTGAGCCTGGAGCTAATTTCATTTGGGGAGGAGAATGTCGTACTTAGTGCAGACACTTTTGTTTAGCATTGATATAAGGTGGAATGTATTCACTGTGGAAGAGGCATAAAATTTCTTAACTGAGAGCATGTGGTAGCTGTTTATTTTAGGAGAATTGCTTCAGAGCTGATTTCAGGGGGATTTGATGACACTCAGCACCCAACAGAATTGAGACATTAAAACAAAACTATTCTTTGTGGGACACCATCCAGTTTAATTTTCTGCTCTTACAGAAGTCTCCTGAGCATGACATGAGCTGTCCCCTTTTGACATGTCAGATGATTTTTTTTTTCTGTTGCCTAATCCCTTACTGGGTAGAAATTCTATTTTTGTGATACTAATGCAAAGGGAAAAGTAAAAGGAAAAAAAAATTCCAAGTCATCCAACAAAAGAATATGGAACTAAGAAAATTATCCAAAAACTCAGGGGCCCTCAAGTTTACAGTATGTACATTTCCTTTAGGTTACTGGGTCATTAGGAATGGAATGCTGAAAATTAATACATTTTTTTGTCTGAACAAAAAAATTTTTTTAAAAAATCTTAAGTTTTTTTTTTTTTTAATTAGTTGTTTGTGTAAAATGTCTTTTACTCGATATTTAGTTTTAAGAGTTAATAGAAGTTTAACCAACTTGTATTTCAAATTAACTCTCATAGTTGAACATTATGCAAATAGTCTTTGCATTTTGAAGTATCAGCAGCAATGGTTGAATGGAGAATAATTTACACTGGAGGTTGGTGTCAAATTGCTTTCCAACAAGGTTGTATTATTTTTGTGGCTCCTGCGAAAATAGTTGGAAAAAAAAATTATTGTGACAAGATGTGTTTTACCAGATATATATAACTCTTCTTTTTGGAAACAAATATAAGCCTCATAGCAAAGTTATCTAATTATGCTGTCTTGCCAACATCTTTGAAAATAAAACAGTTTCAGATTTTTAAATGCTTTAACACCTTTCAGTGTAGAATTTTTCTGTTAAGGAAGGTGGGAAAGGAAAATGTAAAGTTACTGTGTTTTCTGATATTGTTAGTATCTCATTTCAAAAATCTTTATATTCCCTTTTCTTCTGATCTCTGCCTTCCTTCTGAAGTGACCACACCTATTAATGCCATATTGTGTCTCCTGAGAAACTCTCTTTCAGTTCTACTAGCCCGGCAATATACTGGTGGAGTGGAAGGGCACGGGCACTAGTGCCAGTTTTAAGTTGGGAGGTTTATTTTTAGTTTTAAAACTGTAATTTTTAAAACTCACTTTCCCTGGTCTCAATCACTGGTAGAATTTAAAAGTTGGGAGTCAGCTGCAATGCAGTTCCAGTGGCAGAAATTAATAACTCTAAGGAGAAAAATCGACAAGAAACATGGAAAATAGATCACAGAAATACTTGTTTCGAAAAGAGTTACTGAGAAATTTACTCTGTGGTCTTCAACATGAGAAGTGCCTAGCAAGCTAGCAATGCATGTTACTGAGTAATTAGTGATAATTTAATGGTATTTCAGCTGTGCTGAGAGCAGACAGAATTACAGGACCTCAGGCTAAAGTTCAGCACTGCAAACACCACGATACTCCTATAACAAGCTGGGACATCCAGTTCTCCAGCTTTCCAAACTGTTCCTAACTCTGTGACTGATCTTTAAAGAAATTTTACTGTTACTCTGAAATTTAGGTCCCAAGCTTAATGTTGCAACTATGGCTTTGTAATGATTAAAGTTTGTGCACTGGCTTCATTCTTGAGCTTTGTTGCCTTTCATCTTGTATAGTCTCTAGGAGCCTCATTTTTCTTTCCCCTTTGCACATTCAAATCTTTAGTACTGAAGGCAAATAAACGCTTGAGTCAATTTTAAAGGATCTTCCCAGAAAGACAGGGAAAGTGAGCCAACTCTTTTTGAACAAGTACCAAAAAACAGTCAGTAAATTAAATCAGTTCAACTAGTCATCCTCTTGTCCCATGTGAAACTGTAAAAGCAAGGTTTAACTCCACGTTAATTTTCTACTACTTACAATTTATCTTGCTGTAGATCAGAAACCTGACAGTTTCGTAGCCTACAGAGGTTCGTGCAATTTGCTCTTGTTCCAGGGAGTGATAAAACGTGACTCAGAAACCTCGTTTCTTTGGCAATGCTGGATATGAGAATACCAATAACAGCTATAAAAATTTGTGTAAGAATTTTGCATTGTAATTTGTGCTGTAATAATTTACAATCATCCTGCATAACATTTTTCATCTAGAAGTCTCAAAATTGGTCATAAAATAAGGTGGATGTGGTAATTTCCAAATTATATATCTAGAACGAAGACTCTGAAAACATTAGGTGACTTTTTACTTTTACTAATGGTAGAAAAATTCTCCAGGTCTCCTGTCTCTCCACTGCATATTCTTTGGATGAGTCCACGTCATCATATGTGTTGACATGAAAAACCAAACCACATATAAACAATTAAATTATTTTCTTACTGATTTATGTCGCAGTATATTTTGTTTTATTGCTTGATAGTGGATATCTCTTTTGCTGCAGCACAAAATTGTTTTACTTTATCATCACCTATCTTATTTTGAATTCATACAAGCATCTAGCAGCTTGATAGCAAATTAAAGTTATTTCAAAACCATAATCTGTCTTCAAAATAATGTGATGATTTACTGTGAAAAGAGATAAGAATTGGTAATTCCTATATGTATTTGGCTTATTTATCTGCACCCCAGAGCCAAAAAATGAACAAAAAAGGTTATCTCTTATTTTTCTTATATGAAAACTGTAGCAGACTGGGAAACAGTCCTGATGGCATGAAATTCCTTAGTTCTGGAAATGGGAGGAAGAAACTGTAACTACCTATCAGCAACGAGCTTTATCTTCTGACTTGAGCAGTGTTAGACCAAGTGTTTTAAGGATCTGCCTGTTGCATTTTTAATCAAGAGTGAGTCTGGATTCAGATCTTTCATGAGTGACTTTACAAGTGCTGTCTGTTATCTGGTTTCTCAAGAAGCACAACAACATGTATGGTCTTTCCTAGTCTGCAACTGAACTGTAGCACATTTTTCTTGAGAACGTGAGGGTAACTGTAGCACTGGATGGGTTTTCACAGCATATTCCTTCTGTAAAGACCTAGAAATACAGTTCAACTCACTAGGAAATGTTCTCCTCAACAAAAGAGACAAGATGCCTCTTTGGGGCAGAAGAGAACGTGATTTCTGGGGGAAACCCGATGGCATTGCAGAAGCAGCCTTCCTCCCAGTGATTGTTGTCAGTAAAAGGGGAACCAGAACATTCATCTTAAAAGTCTCTTTCATTTTTTGTTTCAGGCAAAGCAGAAAAAATGCCAGTTCTGTATCTCAAGACTCCTGGGAGCAGAGCTATTCCCCTGGAGAAGGCTTCCAGACTGCAAAGGAAAATCCCAGATATTCCAGCTACCAGGGATCGAGGAATGGCTACATGGGGGGACATGGCTTTAATGCCAGGGTAATGCTAGAAACACAAGAACTGCTCCGTCAAGAGCAGAGGCGGAAAGAACAACAACTGAAAAAAAAAACTTCTTCTGAAGGGCCTAGCAACTATGACTCATATAAGAAAATTCAGGACCCTAATTATACCCCTCCTAAAGGTCCTTTCAGACAAGATGTACCGCCTTCACCATCTCAGGTAGCGAGGCTGAACAGATTGCAAACACCAGAAAAGGGAAGACCGTTTTATTCTTGAGGTGAAGAAAATGAAGAACAACTTACCATGCAATAAGGAACATTTTCATATAAAGACTTATATTTTGAAAACTTTTTAAACTGATGGTACTAAGGAATATATCCATTGTCTATTTCAGTGCCTTTGAAAATATGGGCAAAGCGCTGGTGGGCCTTATGTCTTTGCTATTCTGTCTCAAGTGTTAAATTCATGGAAGGACCTTCCACCATTTGACAATCATAGCAGAAATGTGCTCCTGCGTTCTGAGTCCTGTAGCCCAGTCCAGTAGCTTTTTGCTAGATTTGTTGTAATGTCTTTTACTTTGCAGTGACTTATTACACCAACATGAAGCTTTATGGCATAAAATGAATGAATTTGAGGTTGAAGGAAGCATTGACATGTCCTTTCTTTATTTCTCTTGGTTCAGGAACAGCATTACACATTGCTTTTGAGTGGATAAGGCTTAGCACTACTCTGGATCGCAGTCAGAGTTCTTATATGTTATATGGTGGAGTCATTACCAGTCTTTGTTGATTAATATTTAAGTGTCTATATGCTAAAAAACTATCCTTCTCCTATTATGCACATATGCACTGTTTTTCTCTCTCTCTCTCCCAACTCTGAGCTTATTAAAAAAGCCTTTACCCTGACTCATGAGGAAAACAATATTAAGCTTTCAGTTATCCTGAGCATCCTGTTACAATTGCCTTATAATCTTAATACACAGTCCATTACAAATGAAATAATTAGAGAGAGATTATTTATACAGTCACAAACAAACCAAGCATATTTTACTATTTTGTTAAAGATGGGAAATTTTGAAAAAACATACAACCGAGTTCTGCTTTGCTTTGCTTTGCTTCTAAATTAGTTTGGTCATAAGACACTTGTATCTAGGAAGAGAACAAGGGAGGGTATCATCCCACGGTCATCTGGTATACAGTTGTCCTTGAGCAAATTTTGGAGATACCTTAAAGCAAGAGCAAAGAAATCAAAGTTTTTCTTTGGATCAAAACACTGTAAAGAAAAGAATTACTTCTTATAATTTGTGAAGCTTTGTGGACAATTTTCTTTGTGCTTCCATATACTGTATTGTTTCATTGTGATGCCACATTTAAAACAAATCTTTAAGTATATGAATGAGAGATAAGTGGAGACAAACTGTTACACATCATCCTGAAAACACGTCAGTATCAAAAAAAACTAAAGCAAAAGAGATTGCTCCAGCAGTCAGTAATATTTGAATGTGCATATGGGATATGAGAATTTCCTTTGAAGCAGCTGTTTTTATGTTTGTTGGTCTTAACTTCATGCATTGTAAAAAATATAGCTGGGTTGCTGAAGTGCCTGCAAATCCTGATGTGAAAAGGCTTGAGAATGGATCTCAGCATATTGTGTACAAAAAGGAAAGAGAGAAAGCAAGAAAAAAAATCATGTATTGCGTGATTTAAAAAAAAAAAAAAAGCCTATTTTTTTTTACTGGCACATTTTATTTTTGCGCCACCTTGTTTCTAGAATATATGTGAAATATCAGCACACATATGTGTCTTTTATGCCTGTTTGTTAACAGTTTTTGTTGTTAATAATGTACTCCATGTTTAAAAGTTATTAGTGTAAGCACAGTGACATTGGATGACAATAGCTCTTTTACGAAGAATTTACAAAACTGTGTAAAATGGCTTTTCATGTACATATGAAATTTAGAATAAAAGGCTGTTTCCATCCTTGTCTTGGTATTGCCTGTAGACCCCTGTGAGAACTGCTGCTTACATTGAGTTTAAAAAACACTTAACAGATTTTATTTTATACTATTCCTAACGGTTTGCATGTATCTTTCTGTGAGTGTGTATAAACATCAAAAAAAGAAAAGAAAAGAAAAGAAAAGAAAAGAAAAGAAAAGAAAAGAAAAGAAAAGAAAAGAAAAGAAAAGAAAAGAAAAGAAAAGAAAAGAAAAGAAAAGAAAAGAAAAGAAAAGAAAAGAAAAGAAAAGAAAAGAAAAGAAAAGAAAAGAAAAGAAAAGAAAAGAAAAGAAAAGAAAAGAGAAAAAAGATCCCAGATGAACACCTAAAGACTATCCTCAGAGGCAAAAAACACATAGTTTAAAGT